CACATGAAAGAAACATGGAACTGTTGCTAATGCATATCCAGTTCATCAAATACAACAGAAATATCTGTGGGGATCCAAAAATATTTATTTTTTGCTTGGAATGCAGTTTATTAACTACTGTTTTACATAAGTGAATGGAACAGACAAGTGAGACCATCACATTACATTAAAAAAAAAATTGGCTACTCTGAAAGAATTTGATTCCAGGGTAGAAAAACATGAACCACTTGTTGAGCTAATAGATATTTTTAACTTCGCTTCACATAAAACTTGTAATAATGACAAATTTTGTGACAGCAATGAACAAGAAAGGTGAAGTTTTTGTTACTTGAGATAAATGTTTCCAAGAATAACAGATGTTTAAGATCAAGGAAGGCATCTCTGTTGATCCACAGATCAGATGGATCATCAATGACAAGCGATTCAAGGATCTGTTAGTGGGGCCAGAGAAAATTGCTTGGAAAGTAATGGGTTTTATTGAGAGTTTTCTTGGCATCCATCCAGAGCACCAATTCCATTCAGCTGGTTGACAAGCTTACAGCATACAAGACCACGAAGTGCAACATGTAAGTGAAGATTCAGTTTCCTCATGCGCACTTCGACATCTTTCCTGAAGGTTTAGGTGCAATGAGTTTCACCAGGATATTGGCAAAAATATCAGGGCCACAGGAATCCATCAATGCTGACTGACTATTGCTTGGACACTGTAGCGATATGTATTGGACACGGAATACAAATGAAAACAGGCAGAAAATCACTGCTAGCTCTGTTGAACTCATGCAGCTTGATAGAAGCATAATGTGAATAAATACATCATGGTCACTAAAAGTGAATGTCATATTTCTTAAAATTCCTATGTGACATGGACATTCTGAAATTAGATTCCCTTAAATTGAACACAAATATAATCTCCAAAGGTTTTTCAGGAAGCAAAACTTTTGAAAAAATTTGTTTCCAGAGATATTCCAAGAGAATAAAGTTAAATCAATATAATTCTCCCCCATTCTATCCAATAGAAGAAGATCATTTTGTTATCCAAAATTAAGTGAATTAAAGACTAATAAATAAAAGATTTCAGGATTCACATCAGTTTTGTAGTATTGATATATACACAGCAATTTCGTGTGTAAGTTTAGTTCAAAATACTTTATTCTTCTGCGTAATACAGTATATCAGTTGAAAAAGGTATTTTATCAAGCATGTTATGCATCATTTTGGACTTTAAATCATTTTTTTTTTAAAATACAACTTGTCTGATGTGAAAATGACTCTCTTGGAGTACGAAGTCAACAATAGAAGGGGGTTTTGATTATTTTTTAGCTAAGTGACTAACCGCTCTCTTAATGTTTAGAACAGGTATTTCCAACTTGGGTTCATGTGCATCCCTGAACAGCTAGTCTTGCAGCACACAAGATTGTAAACTTTAATATTTAACTCTATTATTATGTGATTTATATATATTAACTATATTGTATGTACATTTTATAAGCGGCCCAAGGCAATTTCTCTTCCTCAGTAAGGCCAAGGCAAACCAAACGTTTGGACATCCATGATTTAGCATATCAGCAAATCTTTTTATGAGTGCTTTTTTAAAAGTTTGTATTTATTCATTTAATCTTACATTGAAATTATTTATATTCAGATAATTATATGATCAAACTTCCAAGAAATATTTTAGAGGCATTTTATTACTACATTTGTGTCACTGCATATTGTATACAAACAACATGTATTTTCTGCCTTGTTGTTACATCCCTACTCTATAAATGCTGTCTTTTATCTTAGAAAACTCTCAGAGAGTTTTCAAAATGTGTGCAGAATTTGCATCATTTAACAGCTGGGTGCTGTCTTTGCTCTTTTTTTGCCCTTATTTTAAATCATGGCAATTGGACTGAATATTGCTCAACTGTCCTTTTGTTTTCTCTATATAGAGAACCCACTATTCTCCATTAGTGGAATGTATAATAAGTTAGTCTTTTTGTAGCAATTATTATACTGCTCTTTAATTGTGATTTAAAAATAAACAGCAGAGACTTTTTTAGTCAGTATATTTTCAGTTTAGCAAGAACACACTGAAATGTTATTCTTCTGATTCAGTTTTGCTATCCACCAATAGTTCATCACGTTGAGTTTTAGAAAACCATTTTTTAAAAATTATTAGCTTTCATTTCTCCTGATCTCCAATCTGAAGCAGATACAAAGGTGCAGAGAATGAAAATCAAATTGCAAGGGAAAGTCTTCTTTGAGAAGAGCTGGGCTTCCAATGACAGGACTGAGGGGGTTAAAAACTGAGAAGGATTACATCAGCAGATGGGAGAAGTTGTTACAGGTGGTCCTTGATTTACTACTACAGTTGAGCCACAAATTTCTGTTGCTAAGCATGGCAGTTATTGAATTTTGCCCCATTTTATGACCTTTCTTAAGGGATGCGGTGGCTCAGTGGATAAGACACTTCTCGATCAGAAAGATCTGCAGGTTGGTGGTTTGAATCCCTAGCACCGCAAAACGGAGTGAGCTTCTGTTAATTGTCCAGGCTTCTGCAAACCTAGCAGTTTGAAAGCATGTAAAAATGCAAGTAGAAAAATAGGAACTACCTTTGGTGAGAAGGTAACAACATTCTGTGCTCCTTCGGCGTTTAGTCATTTGAACAGTTCTGGCTCTTTGGCTTTGGCTTTGGCTTTGGCTTTGGCTTTGAAATGGAGATGAGGCCCACCCCCTAGAACGACTAGCACACATGTGCGAGGGAAACCTTTACCTTTTATGACCATTCTTGCCAGATGTGTTAAGTGAATCACTCCGGTTGTTAAGTTAGTAACACAGTTATTAAGTGAATCTGACTTACTCATCAGAAGGCTTTATTAGAAGGTTGCAAAAAGGATTGTGGGACACTGCAACTATCATAAATATGAGTCAGTTGACAAGCATCCGAATTTTGATCAAGTGACTATCAGGATGTGTCAAAGACCAGAAAAGCATGAAAAACTTTCACAATTCACTTTTTTCAGTGCCATTGTCACTTCGGAAGGTCACTGAATGAAGCTTAGGACTACGTGTACAGACTTTTATTTTTAAATGATTCTTAGCTTTTCATGAAACCAAAGTGGGAAAATGAAAAGTTTAATTGAAAAGTTTCAAAGGGTGCCCACACCTTAATAACATCATTAATAAAGGAGGGTTATCTATTGTCAAGATTCTAGTCTTTTAATTCCTAATTCTTGACCTTAAAACCAGTTAAAATCCACGTGAATCTCGCTTCCTAAATCAGCTTAAAGGAGTTGACAAATAAAGCAGTGGTTTTCCATTGCCACCTTCTGGAAGCTCGTCCATCATCAGGCCTGTTTAGTTTCAGATACTGTCGGCAGATGCTGCCACCTGCTGGGGTAAAGTGAAAGCACAAATATTAATTGAAGTATTGGCACCTCTTCTCTTATTAATGGAAGGCAGATTTTTTTTAAAAAAATAGATTAATAGTGCTTTAGCAATAAAATATAGACCCAATTCTTTATTGAAGGAAGAGTCTTTTTTTAATTAGACAAGGTGAATAATACTATGGCTATATCAAACACATTTGATGATAAAGGTATAAAATCAACCAATTATCCCTGTTGTTGTTATTTGCGAAGTCATGTCTGACCCATCATGATCCCATGAACAACGTTCCTCCAGGCCTTCCTGTCCTCTCCCATCTGCTGAAGACCATTTAAGGTTATTCCGACTGCTTCAGTAACTCCATCCAGCCACCTTATTCTCTGTCGTCCCCTTTTGCCCTCAATCTTTCTCAGCATTAGGCTCTTCTCCAGTGAGTTCTTACTTCTCATTAGGTGGCCAAAGTATTTGAGATTCCTCTTCAGGTTCTTCAGAATCACTGGCTCAAAAAAAAGTCATTATAAGAAGACTTAATTGTTACTAGCATTTTTTTTTAAATAAGATAAGCTAATGCTATAGTCACAAAATTATATTTTGTTCATGACCACTAAATTAATTAAAGGTAGTTTTATAGTGATGAAGCTATTGTTGAAAATCAGAAACAAAAATCATCTCACTAAATTTCATAGTTAATAGCACATTATCAATTTTAAACCTTACTAATTTTTTTAAATGCACTGTTTATATTATTTTTTGTGAATCTTTTAGGCTCATTATGGTACTTTGAGGCACCAAGCAACCAGAGAGTTTGTCAAGGAATTTTTAGATACACAAACATCATCTAGATATTGAACGCACTTGGTTTTAGAGATAGGAGAAATCTCTCTAGTAATTTCCATGCTTAAGGGCAGATTTGAATCCAAGTCTTTTATTTTTGTCAATTATGCTAACATAACTCAATATGGAATTCCAACTAATCTGTTCTTAGCTTTGAACAATTCTGTGCATATCCATCAAAAGAAATCATATTAAATTCCATTATATAACACTGTATTTTACTATAATAATTCTCACTACTATTGGTATATATGAATTTTTATATAATGGTTACACATAATAGGCAAATTAACAGCAATCAGATACTTTGAATTTCAACTTCTCTTTGTCAAAAAAAGTATGGTTAAAGCCGGATTGCCTATAATCTATCTGAAGGGATAAGTTATCTATTGCTGTTTTGTTTACTGTAAAAAGTTGTTTTTTGATTATGTTTTATTTTTTGGTCAGTGTTATCTACCATAATTGTATAGCTTTGCTTTGTCACATAAACAAAATTTTGGACATTTAAGCCAGAGAGCATGCAGCCTATTAGAATAGACCATATGCAATACTTTAATACTACATGTAGATAGAATTTATATACAAAAGAAATTAATCTTATGTTAATTGGCTTCTTTGTTCTATGCACAGAAAATATTGCCTTAATAAAGTAATGAGGTGGTTTGTTTGAAGACCTATGTGGGCACATTCATGCTGGAAAAATGCTTTAGATACTGATTCCAACATTACATTTTAAATTATATTTGCAGCTTTAAATAGTTCTCCATTTATTTACAAATTTATCTTAAATCATCTAGGAAGAAAAATGTCTGTTTCCTGTCATTTAAAGGAATTTTCATGGAGCAAATCAGAAGGATCTTTGGTTGACTTGGATGATGGAAACCTTACAAGAAATGATTGGATAGGTATGTAACTGACAGCTCTACTACTTGCACAGAAAATATAATTTGCTATTAAATTTTAGGAAGAAGATAAATATTCTGCTATGAAAAAAATGGAAATGAATGGAACTCTTTATATGTGATTTTGCTCCACTTCAGCCATTGCTTTTTTTTAAAAAAAAAGTTCTAGGACAGCAATGGTGAACCTTTTTTGGCTCATGTGACATAAGGGGGGAGCGCAGGGGGGGGGTGCGCGGGCATGCCTCATCCATAATGCAACGCACGACCCCCCCCCAGTGTGCATGCGCACATGAGAGACACTCTCCCCATTTGTGCATGCTTTTTTCGCCTTCCCCAGGCTCCAGAGGCATTATAGGAGCCTGGGGAGTGCGAAAAGAGTCCCCCCCGCCCTGGAGGCCCTCCGGAGGCTTCAGGACCTTCAGGAGGCTTCCCTGAAGCCTCTAGAGGGCAGAAAATGACCCTAGGAGGAAACTGGAAGTCACTTCAGGTTTTCTCATGAGGTTGGTTTAAGCCTCCGGAGGCTTCGGGGACCTTCAGGAGGCTTCCCTGAAGCTTCCGGAGGACTAAAAATGAGCAAACCGAGTGTCAGTTCCCAAACCTCTGGTTTGCCCATAGGGGCAGTTTTTTGCACTCCGGAGGCTTCACGGAAGCTTCCAAAGCCTCCAGAGGGCATCTGGGGTGGGGGAGGCTCTTTTCACCCTTTCCAGGCTCTTACAAAGCCTCTGGAGCCTCTGGGGTTGGCGAAAAATGACTTTAAAAAAGACTGAACTCAGCTGGCCAGTGCATGCATGCATGCACGCTGGCAGCTGAAAGGGCAAGGCCTCACGTGCCCTGACAAATGGTTCCGTGTGCCTCCTGTGGCACGCGTGCCATAGGTTCACCATTCTGATTCTAGGCGAAAGTATTTATCATAAAAAGGTTTGATTTTCTGGAGATGTTCTATATAAGTACCATATTTTTCAGAGTATAAGATGCACCTTTTTCCCTCAGAAAAGAGGGTGAAAATTTTATACAATGAATACAGCATTTTTGGCATCCACAAACCCCACCCCCTTTCCTGGGGGCTTGGAAGGGCAAAAATGAATGGAAAACAGGCTGTTTTTTGTTCGTTTTTGCCCCCCCAGCCCCCAGGAGCACTATAAGCCTCCTAAATGCTATGCATGTCCTTTTCTTGACAAAAAATGGGCCCATTTTCATGAAAAATGGGCCGGTTTTTACTTGTTTTTGCCCTCCCCGGAGCACTCTACAAGCCTCCTAAAGGCTATGCTTTTTTTGATGAAAAATGAGGCCATTTTGGGGAGATCTGCAGAGTTCAAAACTTTTTTTTTTATTTGCCTCTTCAAAATCTTGGTGCATCTTATATTCTTATATTCTGGTGTGTCTCTGAAAAGTATGGTAGTAATGATGTTAAAGTTGATGTTTAGGTAGATATTTTCAGTACGGGTGAGAATTTTGAAAGAATATAAAAAGGGCTGCCCCTTTAGCATCAGGCCTTTGACTATAATGAAGAGAGGCAAATATAATTCATGTTTTTTTTTCTTTTAAAATACAAACATATAAAATTTGTCAATAATATTTAGAGAATAAATGTACAGAGAAGGATGATCAGAATCAATACTGGTAATTTTACTATGAAGAGCAATTGTAATAGTTGGGAGCTTTTAGTATTAAAAATTATAAAAATAAAATAATAATTATTTAGTCTTTTAAAAAATGATTTTAAAAGCTTCCCATTCATTAATCTCGCTTTTTGGTGATTTCATGGATTCATCTATGTAGATTTCTTGGCAGAAGTAGACAAGAGAATTGCCACTTCCTTCTGGATTTTTTAAAAATTTCCCAGTCTTCCTGTAAGCCCTTACACTTCCTAGTAGTCTCTTATTCATATTAGTACTGATAGTATAGGTAATCCTCAATTTATGGTTATAATGGAGTCCATGAATTGAAGCACTCATTTGACCAAACATAATTTTGTGACCTTTTTACAACAGTTGTTAAGCAAACACCATAGTATTTAAATGACTATCATGGCCATTAAGAACATCCATTTTATCCTATGGGTGATTTTTTGCCAGAAACTAGCAAAAAAGTCATAAATTATGTTCATGTGTCATCAGAATGCTGCAACCAGCTATAAAAGTGAACCAAGCATCCAAACTGTGGTCATGTGAGCCAGAGGTGGGTTTGGACAAGTTCGGCTGAACTGGTAGAAATAATCAGGCCTGGCTCTCTGAACTGGTAGGACCAGCAGGCTGGCTATGCCCCCGAACCGGTCGCCTGGTCACTGCTTGCTCGCCAACCTGACGCAGCCATCGGATGACAAGCTGACTGAAGCTGGGAAGCAGCTGGATGGCAAAGAAGCCATTCAGCCGCCTCTTTGAGTGCTGGAGGATTGGAAGCTTCTTTTCCACCCAGCCACTGGCCACAGGATGGCAAAAAGTCCTCCGGTAAGAAGAAATTACCAGAAATCTTTTTAATGCCCTGCATGCAGTGTGCAGTGACTGGGTAGAAAAGAAGCCTCTTGGCTTTCAAGTTCAGCAGCAGGCTCGGTCCCTTCACTGAGTTGCTTTTCTCCGTGCCCGAGAAAGATCAAAAGGCACAGAGCAGCCTTTAAGGACAAAGTTGGCGTAGCTGCCTAGAGGTAAGAAAACTAACCACTGAGGGAAGGAGCTCCCCAAAGCTGTTGGCTTTGCAGCAGTCCCCCCCCCCAACTTGGAACTCCAAGTGGAAGAGGTCTTTTGCTGTTTTAAAGAAACAGCAGCTCTGGGTGCACCACTCCTGCTTCGTTCTCTTTGAGAGCTGCTTTGCAAACAAGGTGCAAAGTGGCTCTCAAAGAGAATGAAGCAGGCACCCAGAGCTGCCGCTTCTTCGCAACAGCCAAGGACGGAAGAGTTCGCTCAGGAGCGACACTGGTGAGGAAGGCAGCTGGATCAGAGAGAGGCATAGCCACAGCTCTCTGGGATGGGTGAACAAGTATGGAGAGGCAAAGGGGAGAGAGAGTGTTGGGCAGGAGCCAAAGGAGTAGGAGGGTGGAGGTTCTTCTTTGCCTCTCTCTGGAGAAGGATGTTCCCAGTGCAAGGAGACTGAGAGAGGGAGGCTCAAGGCAGCTCTCCACCCTAACCCTGAGGCGGCCAGGGGTTGCTCTCACCCTTGGGCAATAGTTCTGCCTCCTCTCCTCCTCAAGCTGGCAAGGAAGCCCACTGCTCCCACCAAATCCACCCAAGGAAGGAAAGAGAAAGAGAGAGCCCACTCGGCCGAGGTGTCTCTCCCCCAACTAGAAGAAGCAACAAGTATCAGCAGCAAGCCACCCATTCCAGTTTAGCTTTAAACTGCATTCCACACTGCCTGAGTAGCAATACTACCTGCAGTTGAATCCTCTGATGTGAGCTGGTGAAGGCACTGCATTGCGCGGCTGGGAGCATGCTAACATTGGCCTTCCTGAGTGCTGGATTCCGCTATTGCCATCATTTCAAGAGTAGGCTGCTAGGCTTGTCCTCAGTACCATCCAGGAGACAGCAAAGAGCCCCGGCATCAAGTTGGCTATGCGCACTCAGTCATATGCCCCCCTAGCCATGCCCATCGACCTGGTAGCAAAACATTTTGAAACCCATCCCTGATGTGACCATGGGAATATGTGCAGATAACAAAACTTCAGAACAAGGTCATATGTCTATGGAGATTGCCAATCGTCCAGGTCATGGTTGTCTCAAAGATGATTTTTCCAAAAGGGCAAGTAGATTCTTCTTTCTTCCTTCCTTCTCTCCCTCCCTCCCTAAAAATGCAAGTAGAAAAATAAGAATCACTTTTGGCGGGAAGTTAAGTGTTCCATGTGCCTTTGGCATTTAGTCATGCTGGCCACATGACCACAGAGACGTCTTCAGACAGTGTTGGCACTTCGGCTTTGAAGTGGAAATGAGCACCGCCCCCTAGAGTCAGCAATTACTAGCACATATGTGTGAGGGGAACCTTTAGCATATTGTTAGTGCTATCTCACCATCAGTAATATATATCCCAAGGGCTACAACAGTCCATTTTTATAGTAACCTAGAGCTTTGCTTAGTGGAACCTGATCCAATAAACTGTTAGGCGTCAGAGTAGATAACACCCATCAGTATTCATAGACCGTCTCATTGACCATTGAAGAAGCTTGAAGCCTACTCCAATTTGAAAAAGATAACAATTTTATCGTAAAAATATTAACCATTTATTCTGATTTAGTCCAATTGTATTCTAGGGGATTTCACTCCTAGGAAAAGGTAGAACTATATTCTATACTTGCTTAATTGTTATTTCACAATCAGTCTGGGAGTAGTAAGTTTTTTCAAAATAACTACTGAACAATGGCCATGCTACATTTAATATTTTTGTATTTAAATTTTAAATAGAACCTTAAGAAAATCTTAATTTTCCAGATGGACACCTAAATTCTTAGTTAAAAATGAATTGGGTGGATAAATGTAAACTTGTTTTCTTCCATTTATTCTAGGTATATTTAAATAAATTCAATGAGAATTTACATTTCTCTTTTTCTTTCTCATCCCCCCAAAAAACAGACAATAAGGAAAATAAATTGCATCTTAAATCACACTGGACTGGAGAATTTAAGCAAGTTGCCCCTGGTGGATTTAAGACAAATCCATTTTGGAAGGAACTGTCAGCATCTAATCCATTTTTAGATGACATAGCTGAATCATGCAACAAAGAAAAAAACAATAGACGGGTATCTATCTTGAAAGAAGATCCAGATTTATTTTTTAGAGATTCAAATGGGACAGATTCTGCTGCTTCATCAGGAGATGAATTAAATATTGAATATCTCTTTTGTCGCAAACCTTCTAAAAGATCTCCAAAATCTAGAAGTGTTTCAGATCTTTTGGATATTATAGATGTACGGTGCGAATTTTCCAATACAGAACCATCCAATTATATCCTACCTCCAGAAACTGAAGCATTTCAGAATCAACGTGAGGCCTACAAGACAGCTTGGTTGAATCAACGACAACTGGCCCGATCTTGCCTGGATTTGAATGTGATAAATCAAGGTCCTGGATGGGCACAGACCCAATCTATAGAAACCCATATAGTCTGCAAAGTGAATTATGAAGGTGGTTCAGTACAGCTTCCCGACTCAGATATTGCTGTTCATTTCCCTGAAGGTCATGTGGCACTTGGAGAATTCCAAGAAGTTGGCCTGCAGGCAATCCTTGATTCTCCACCATCACTCAATGATGAGTTTTCAACCACCTTGACCCCTTTAATTAAACTTACCTTGAGCAACCTTAACACGACTGAGGCTATTTTATTAGAGATGAAAATTGCAGCTGAAATAAAAAAGGATCCTTTTAGTCAGGTAATGACTGAAATTGTTTGTCTGTGTAGTTGCAATAAGGAAGGGCCATTTGAAAAAATACACAATTGTTACATTTATAAAGATACTGTACAAGTGAAACTAACAGACCTTAGTCACTTAATGTATATCGTTGTTGTAGCTCAAACAAACACAGTTAATTCTCTTGTAAGTGTTTGGGAATATATCCACAGAAAACTTTCAGTTGGGATTTATGGACCAAAACATATCCATCCGTCTTTCACTGTTGTTTTTGCTTTATTTGATCACAACTATGTTCCTGATAAACTAACAGTATGTGACATTAAAAAGGGAGGAAAGAGCTTGCCCCCAGTTATTTTCCAGTTATGGGGGAAGCACACATTTGTATTGGAGAAACCGCAAGACCTCAGCATTTCTGTTGTCTCCTGTGATTCAGATTTTGAAGTGAAGAAAGAAGAACAAAGGAAAGAAATTAAAGAAGAAAAATTGAAAGGAGGTGGTGGAGTAATTCACCGTCATTTTCCATTTTCTATAATCTGCAATAGGAAAATACACATTTTTGTCTTCCGTGTTCAAATCAAAGCCCCAGAAAATAACTTGGCATGCCAGTTTTACATTACAACACCTGAACCACCTCCTAAGTTATTAATGGGTGTAACTAACAAGCCAAACCGAATTGAAAAACGCAAGGAAGTAAAATCTGCACCATTATTATTATTGCCCACCATAAAATACCCTACTTTTCAAGACAAGGTTTTAAATATTACCCGCTATGGTACAGCACTCAAAACAGTGTTACGCCAAAGCAAAATTGATTACTTACTAGAATATTTTAAAGGCGACACGATAGGAATACTTGGAGAAGATAAGGTCAAAGCCATTGGACATACGAAAATTAAAGAATGGTATGTAGGAGTTCTTAGAAGAAAAGTTGGACTTGTTCACTGCAAAAATATTAAAGTGATAACTGAAAACCAAACTATTGATGTTGAGGATAGTGAAATCATGACCAGCAGCCTCCTTGAACAGATTGCATTGCCTTTTAAAAAATTGACTTATATCTATTCAACAATCTTATCCACAGTGTCAGAAAACCTAAATGATTGGAAAGCTTTGTCTGATGCTCTTCAATTTTCAGATATGTCCCGGTATGATTTAAATGCATTAGAAGTTGAAAAAGAGTCTGAAAAAGTAGCGTACATTATGAAGAAGCTTAAAGAAATTTGCCATGCTCAGAGAAGCACAAGACGATTCCTATATGAACTCTCTGTGGTAAGTACTGCTGGGATGGGCTGTCAGATGAGTAGAAGCAAATAAGACATAATGAGATTTGTTATGATATTGCCTTCCTATTGTACCCCAGAGCCTGAGAGTTGATAGCAATGATGGTTTTAAATTTGAAAGATTGTCTTGGATGAGTAGCAGCTGGAATGCAACGAGAGTCTTCTGGCTTGGTACTTCATTTTCACCATCTGTGTTTATAGGTTTGTTTGGATTATAATGAAGTTGTTTAAAGAAAGCTGAATATGAAAATACTAGTATTTTCCCGCCACTCTTCCAACGCATACATTCACATCCAGCATTAAATCAAATTGGACTTCCTGCTAAACAGGTGATGATAATGGGTATATAGCATCAGATGATGAATTTAGCACTTTCTTGCAGTCGCTTAAAGCAGCTGCATTATACAATTCCAGGAAAAGAAATAGGTACTTTAAGGAGTTACAGGCAGGTACTGAGTTTGCACTTCAATATATTTTGGACTCATGGTCGCTGCCTAGTTGGACTATTGCTGTGATGGCGAACCTATGAATGTGCTCTGCAGGTATGCAAGCTGTCATCCAGCTCAGGTCCACCACGCATATGTCCATGCCTCCTGCTGGCCAGGTGATTTTCATGTCTCTGCTGTGCATGCAGGAGATGCGCATGTGTGTGGGGAGGTCAGAGGGATTGCGCACACATGCAAGGGGACCGGGGGACCGTGTGCCCCCCACAACCCATTTTTGGTCCTAGGAGACTCCGGGGAGGCCTGCTGGGTCCAAAATGGGGTATAGGGGAGCACGGGGGTGTCCAACATGGGGAGCTTGGCATGTGGGGGGTGTTGCGTGTGCATTGCATTATGGGTGTGGACATGTGAGTGAGTGCTGTCACACACATGCATGCTTTCAGCACGCGAGAACAGAAAGGTTAGGCATCACTGGACGATTGCAACATACTCTGCAACACACTGCTACAGCCTTAAAGATCACCCAGAAATTACAACTGGTCCAGAATAAGGTGGACCAGTTGTAACCTCTGACCAGCTGATTTGCCCAGCTCTATGTTGTGAGCTGCACTAGTTCCCAGTTTTTTTCCAGGTGCAATTTAAGCAACTGGACCTTTAAAACCCAGCAGGGCATGGGACCAGGTTATCTGTGGCTTCCACTGCCTCAGGCTATTTGCTCATTACCAAGATTAGTTAGCATAGGCCTATTTAAGGCCCCCTCATTGAACTGTTCCCGTACAGGGCGGGGCATAACCTTTTCCTAGGGGGTCACAGCAACACTTGTAATAACAACACAAATAATTCATACACCATTCGAAAGCCCATCAAAAACTGAGTTTATTGACACGATTTAATAGTCAGTATGACCACCATTAGCCCTTCGAACAGCATTCAAACGAGGTGCCTCTCGAAAGGCAATGCATTTTATTCTGTCAATGATGCTTTGTTCTTCCGAATCGAATTTTCCAGCCATTCTTAAAGCAAATTTAACATTTAATAGCTCATTCAATTCAGTTTTTTATGGGCTTTAAAATGAGGTGTCGCGGAAGTTGTAAACTGCTGTCGATCTTGCTGTGACCCCCTAGGAAAAGGTTATGCCCCGCCCTAGAATTGCAAAATAATGACTGTTTGAAGATTTGTTGTGTTCTTATCCACCTCGTTTGAATGCTGTTCGAAGGGCTAATGGTGGTCATACTGACTATTAAATCGTGTCAATAAACTCAGTTTTTGATGGGCTTTCGAATGGTGTATGAATTATTTGTGTTGTTATTACAAGTGTTGCTGTGACCCCCTAGGAAAAGGTTATGCCCCGCCCTGTACTGTGTGCTTTTTCTGTAATACAGTAGTCCTTTTTAGTGGGCCGCAAAAAGCTATTTTTTTCCTCAAACAGTGAAGTTGGGTGAGGTTGGAACTGGAAGATATAGTGTTGGCAAGATCAAATAAATTTGCTTTTGCCTTTATTTTTTGCTTTTGTAGTGTCCATAATGTTTGGTTTTAGGTATTTGTTATCAACCATCCAGAATTGTGTTTCTTAAGGTGGTGGCCACACAAATCTTATAAATAAATCAACTACCCATTTCATTGCATCTGTTACCCAACCAGAACATTAAATGTATCAATGGCTAACAAAAGCATATTTACTAAAATCCCACTGTAGTTAGTTTTGGATTATTTTTTCTTTGAACTTTTACATGTTACCTACTGCAGCTAGTCTTTTCTGTCTCTTTTTCTTTTTGATACTGGATGGGGATTTGCCTGTCAAATTCCAATATTAGCCATTTAACTATTCGGTTACATTTCAGTACATAAGGCATCTCCTTAACCAGTGGTTAAGGTAGTGGTTTGGTAGCCTGGGTCACTGGAACCAGCAGTGACCCAGGCCTGCCACACTTCCGAACAGGTTTTCCTACAGTGCCACCATCTTGATTTCGGTTATGCGCATGCACAGAAGAACTTTAATTGCAGACATTTATTTTTATTTTTTAAAAAACATTTTGCGCATGCACAGACCTATTTATGAGCAGATGTGCACATGCACAGAAATTTTTGCATGCACTGAACCGGCAGTAATGCCGGAGCAACCCACCCCTGCCCTTAACCTAATGTGTTGGACCATGTCTTCTTTGCATTTGCTTGAAGGATAGGGCTGCTATCACTTTCCTTTTTGAGTGGGTGAATGAGAATTGTTATCTGAATTCAAGTACAATCATTTCCTATTTTGTATATCTTTGAAGCTCTGAATCAGTTCATTAAGGATTCTCTTCCATCACTTATACGAAGGAGCCAGAAAATGAAAGAAACTTCTTGTTACCCTTTTCCCTATTTTCTCTATTTAGTTCATAATACATTGTTTGTTCTTCTCCTATCACATTTCATATACAACCAATAAATTTCCCTCTGCAGTGTAAGACATTAAAAAAAAAATCTTAACCTACTAGTACAGGGGTGCCAAAATCTATTTCATTGAGGGCTGCAAAAGGGTTGTGTTTGACCATGGTTGTGGGCGAGGTGGCTGGGTGGGGGTAGCCAGCTTGATGTCACTCATCAAGTTTCTGGTTTTGGCCATGATGGCCTCATGCAGCCCTATGCCAGTGAAAATGTAGGCTGTCGAGACTCCATTTTCGCTGGCAAAAGGTGCAGGAGGCCATCACAGCCAAAAACAGCCTGGGAGGGCCGTGTATAAGGAGTACTGGGAGGGCTCCTGTTTTGCTGGCAGAGGCACCTTGGGCCGGTCCTTCGCTAAGTACCATGCAGGCTGAATCTGTGTAATGCATCAAAGGACCGTAAAATATAAAGAATCAGCAAAAATACAAGATAACTTAACCGTAGTTATCTGTGCTGTAACAAGTGCCAGGAATAGTGCATGGTTCACAATGTCAGTGGGGTGTACACACTGCATCCCTGCCACATTGTGTTTTGATTTAGCCTCTTTTCCAAATTACAAATTTGAATCTAATCAAGGTTTTTCATATAAGCCTTAATACTTTGAATGCTCTGTAAAAGAAAGCAGTAAAAAAAAAACCTTATTAGATATCTTTAATTTATATACAGGTAGTCCTTGACTTAACGATGGCAATTGAGCCCAATTTGCGCTGAGACATTTATTAAGTGAATTTTGCCCCATTTGACAACGTTTCTTGCCTCAGTTATGAAGTGAATAACTGCAGTTCATAAATTAGTAACCTGGTTGTTAAGTGGATCTGGCTTCCCCATTGACGTCACTTGCCAGAAGGTCAGGCAAAAAGATGATCACTTGATCTTGGGACATAGCAACCATCATAAATATGAACAATATGCCAACCATCTGAATTTTGACCATGTGACCATGGAGTTGTTGGAATGGTCGCAACTGTAAAAAATGGTCATAAGTCACTTTTCAGTGCCATTGTAACTTTGAACAGTCAGTAAATAAACTCTTGTAACTCGAGGACTACCTGTACATCCTTTGAATTTAGGAATTCTTACTCCTGGCATAATTCTAGGCAATATTTTCAGAAGTGGATGCCATTGTTGCCTGCTTCCTAGGACTGAGAGAGACTGGCCTAGATGTACCAGCTAGCTTCATTCCTGAAGTTCAGGACTAGGATTCGTGGTCTCCTGATTTCTAGGCTGGTGCCTTAAACCACTACACCAAACTGGCTTTCTCGTTAGATGAATAAGTATCAGTTGTATAAAAAATATTCCTGGAACATACTTTGAGAACTGACATGAAGTCAAATAAGATTTGATTTTGCACCTTTCTTCACAAAATTAAGATGATGTACAGAAGTAGTTGGAACATCGGCAATCTGGAGTTGCACAGATGTTTCAAACTATAACTTCATTTTGCCCCAATAGATTTTCTGTTCTTGTTGAATTTTATGGAATCTGATAGTTAAAAAAAAACATTGGAACATAAATGGGATGATTTTGTCTGTTTATAAAGTCTCATCTGAACTTGTTATAGGATAGTTTTGCTTTGAATTATGTGGGAAAAATATGGATTGAAGTATTTATCAATACTATAATCATTATTATTGTTACCATCATCATCATAATAAAGACTCACTAAATACTTTATTTCAAAAAGATTGTGTACTTTTCTGTTTTCTCCTTTATTTAAATCCATTTTAATTATAATAGGAAAATCTCTGTATATCTTATGCCATTCCCAGATTTTAATATAATCATATTAATAAAGATATTAGAATTAAATGCATCTTTAGAAAAAATTGGGTTTTGTAATATCCCTAATAAATATTTTATAACTATAAGATAGACAGAAGGAAATAAATCGGGAAGCCAGGAAGAAGAAATGAAGAGTGCCAGGTTTTACAATAGAAATAAAAAACCTTTTTTCTTGTTTCTGTGTCACAGTGCTTGTTAGCAAAGTTACAAAAGCTATATAGCTTAAAAGTAACAAGCATGACTTTGTCAAGGGATACGTAAGGAAGTCTCATTAATTCTCTAGAGTTATAAGCAATAGCTTACAGGAAAAAACATTCTATCTCTTCTTTCATAACTTTTATTCTTTAAGAATATGTCATCCTTTTAAATTAGATAGATGAACAATGAAGCCAAATCATATTTGTTTTAAAAATGGCAGTATTTATAATATGAGTAAATTTGTAATAAACATTACTGGGAATGTTTTTATATCATAACTGGCAAGATTCAATTGCTCCTACTTTTTCTCTCAACCCATGGGAATGGATAAGTAGAACAAAGTTAGTCATGGCATACAAGCCATGATCCATGACGTCTGTCAAACAAGATGTGACATGGAGTATAAACTATGGTATCCACCTCTGTTTGGATGGTGGGCCTGGGAATTTAGATGCAACAGTATAATAAACTATGAAAATACCTTCCCCAATCTGTTTACCCAATCCTGAGGTCAATAGGAACCAATAATAACTGAGTCAATTTGGTCAAGACGTTGGACTGCAAGAGGGAAGATTCAGATTGAACTTAGCCTCTAGCCACATTGTTGTTAATTGCAAAGTCATGTTCAACCCATCACGACACCATGGACAACATTCATCCAGACATTCATGTTCTCTTCTATCTTCTGGAGTTAATTTAAGCTCACACCTACTGCTTCTATGATTCCATCCAGCCACGTAATTCTCTGTCATCCTTTTCTTCTTTCGCCCTTAATCTTTCCCAGCAGTAGGCTCTTCTCCAGTGAGTTCTTCATTCTCATTAGGTGGCCAAAGTATTTGAGTTTCAACTTCAGGTTCTGGCTTTCTAAAGAGCAATCAGGGTTGATCTCCTCTAAGACTGACCAGTTTGATCGTCTTGCATTGAAGGGACTCACATGAGTCTTCTGCACCATAGTTCAAAGACCTCAATTCTTTGGTGCCCAGCCTTTCTTATGGTCCACCTTTCACAGTGATACATTGCAACTGGGAAAATCATAATCTTTTGTTGGCAGGATGACATTTCTGCTTTTTAGTATGCTGTCTAGATTTGCCATAGCTTTCATCCCCAGGAGCAAGCATCTTTTAATTTTTTGGCTGCAGTCTCCATCTGCAATGATTTTGGAGCCCAGGAAAATAAAATCTTTCACTACCTCCATTTCCCCCCCCCCAATCTATTTGCCAGGAGTTGAGAGGCCCAGATGCCATGATCTTAGTTTTCTTAATGTTGAGTTTCCAGCATCACTTTATTACTTAGAACTTCTTTGGTCTTCTTTTCTCCTTTATCCACCTTGTAGGGTTATATTGAAGGGGAGAAAAGGTACATAGCGTACACAAATCTCCCTGCACATGTGTGGATAATCTAAATCTAACACACAAATGTATTTTAATGAATCATAAGCCGTGAGTTAGGTCTATATAACTAACAATGCTATTTTCTGTGTTAATGGAGTAGTAATTTTGGAAATCACTTGGTTTGGGGCTTTCCAATATGTCCAGAGAGAGGGAGAGATAAACCCTTACATTTCTACTGTCTGAAATCTTACAATAATTGTTTTCAAACTCTAGACCAGTTTTCTATTTTTAAAAACCCAAGATTAATAAATAATATGGGGAAAATTACTTCTATACAGTAAAAAGATACGATTCTTCCTTAGTTATGCATCCAAACTGTTACATTATAATCGCACTGTAATTATTTGTTATTAAAAATATTTAAAAACATAACCATCACACTTGTGCTTTCAGGCACTTTTAAAGCTAGACTGCCAAGGATTAGTAGCCCGTATTACCCAGGATACAGTTATTTTTACTGCGGCGGTAAAACTTGGGAAGAACTGGAGAGAGTTGGCAGAAAAATTAGCACGACTTACAAAACAACAAATTGATGCTTATGAAACTCCTCATCATAACAAAAATGGAGAAGTTGCTCCAGAGGTAAGTCTTACAATATTTCTCTTGTGTTCATTTGCTATAAAAGGTACAATCCATCTCTGAACATTGTCAGTATAGAAAAACTTGAGAGAAGGAGATAATATTCCATGGTAAATTCACAGGTTTCTTTGATCCCTTTATTACAGTATCTACAACACAGTAAATTTTTGGTCACACCATTAACAGTATCTGTGTTTAAATAAAAACAAGTGTTGAAAAGAGACAAAAACTATCCAGCACTTTAGATAGATGTAAGAGAGTACATTGTGTATATAATGAGCATAACATTTCCTTCAGATTGCAGATTTCTTTAATCTTAAACAGCTATCAAATCCTGAATTTTAACTTTAGAAATTACTAGGTAATCCATGACCTGTTTGGTCATCCTTTCAAACATATTTTCTTTTCTAAAGAGAAAAATACAAAGACCATAAGCGGGCAGAAAAGCAGTGGGAGACAGAGTGACTTCAGATTTCCTGCTTGCTTCCCTACTGACCCTATTTGTGAGAAGCTGGCAAGGAGTACGGAAATAATGATTACGTGGTAAAACTGCAGTGGCCACAATTTTATGATTAAAAGACTTGAGGAAGATCCTTGAAACTCCAGTTCTTCTGGATGTTGTACACATTCTTTAACTTAATGAATTTGAGGTATCTTAACTCAAAAAAATGTTGCACTATGATGTACTGCCTGGGCTAATTGAAGGTTACAAACAGACAAAAGATTTTTTTAATGCTTTTTGGATAACATGATTTGGAACGCTGTTACTCATTACTCTGATTGAAAGGATTGACCTGTACAAGTCCTATGTGGCTGACAAAATGGATGCTTTAAGTAAAATTGGTTAAATTTCAACAATTGGACTATTTTTAATTTTGATAGCCCAAGTTATTTTTCTTTTTTCCTCATGTAAAATCTCTCTCTTCTCATTTAATTCTTAGAATATAATGTGTTTTTTCTTCTCTTTACAGTTTTCTATATTTGTAGAAATTCTTAAAATTCTTCAGCTTTAGTATAAATTTAAGATAACTCTTAGCATTAAAACTTTTACTTTTAAGTACTTTTAAGCCCTTTTTAGGGTGGGGCCATGGCCATGGTATTTGAAGGATGGCTATGTCTGAATATATTATCTCACTTATTTAGCTTATTGCGCTAAGCATAGCACATAGCATATTTAAGCTATGCTCTCGCCTATATTTTAGAATTTTCCAACAGGAATATTAAGGTTGTTAAACCACTACAATTGGACTGCATTTAGAAAATATTTTTCTATTTGACTATGCTATTTTTGGCCAACATAATATGTAGAAACAAAAATCCATAGTTAATTAACTTTCTCAAATGCTTATTGATGTTGAAATACTCCTATAACTATGTATCCTTGAATTGGGAATGGGTTCAGGTGTTTAAATTGGTAATAAAGAAAGTAGTTTTCCATTGCTTGTTTCTCCCCGTTTCCATATTTGTCTTTCCTTATACACTCTGTACTCCTGAAAAGAAATCTTGGTTTTCATTTATACTGGATCGGGGTCCACCCCACCCCTGATTCATGGACTGGTCCATAGCATGCCAAAAATCAGGCCGAAGTGAAGCGGGATGCAGGCGGCATGCAAAATCAGGCCTTCCAATCTGTGGAAAAATCTCTCTCCACCTTACTGGTCCTATATGTTAATAGATGGGAAGAAAATAAGAGGCTAAACTAGAGATTCCTAAAAGCGAGATGAATGGATGACAGATAAAAAAACTAGTATCTTTTGTTCCATTCACTCATGGATTTTGGATTACTCTTGTTCAAAAATATAGTCACAGCTTTCTTTGGTAGTTCTTTTTGCTTCTCATAATATGTAAGTTTGCATAAACCAGAATTATATCCTATTTAATGTTATATTGATACTAGCAGAGCAGAGAATGTCCACACTTTTTTAAGGAAGATATTTTAATTACAGATACATGTATAAAAAAATCTATACATACTACAAAGAAATGTTTTCTTAGGGTAATTTGCAAATATTTTTAAAGTCTCTCATAAGTTTTAAAGAAAAGAAAATAATTATTTCTTAGAAATGACAGAATTTGCACTATACAATTAATTTAAAAGCTCTCTTTAAGTATAACCAAGTTAATAGCACATTAAATGGCTCGGGAGAATAAAAATTTAGGTATCAAGATGAAATTGTTGCTATGTTTCTGTCTCTAGGGAACTGAAAACAGATCCTGAACTCATTTTGGAGAACTTTTCTAATTGAATTGTGTAGAAAATGTTAACATACATTGATTGGTGTCCATATTTGGAACTAAAATGCTTTAATATCCATATCTATATCCATACACGCTCGTGTGCGCGTGCACACACATACACATGTATGTATGTATAAATGTATGTATGTATGGTGCTCTTGTTGTATTTGAATCTTTTCCCATGTAAGATTAAGATTGTCTTGGCAATGTTTTAGCGAGGTCTCACTCGCCATCTTCAGGCTGGGTTTTGGGCTTAAAGTGTGGTCAGAACTGTGGTCAGAATTCATGTTGTGGGGGTATTCCTCTATTTCTATAGCTTCCATAATTATTCTCTTGTTGAAATGTTCAGTTTTGCAGATTAACCTGATTCCTTCAAAATTAATTTCATGTCCTGTAGCTTTAAGGTGCTAGAAAAGAGAGGAAGTTTTTTTTTTCTTACTGCATTCTTGTGTTCTGCAATGCATGCATTTATTCTCCTGTTCGTTTGTCCTATGTATGTTGCAGGGCAGATTTTGCCTGGTATTTCGTAGACTCCTTGGTTTTCTAGCTGGATTTTGTCTTTGGGATTTCTTAAGATGTTGGTTATTTTTTGGTCAGTGTTGAAGGCTGTCTTGATATTGTGTTTGTGGAGAATTTTGCTGATTTTATCTGTGGTGTCTTTGATGTAAGGGAGGAGGGTGATGCCGTTGTCCTGTTCTGTGTCTCAGTTTTTGCGGGGAGTCTCCCTTTGGATTAGGTTGGTAATTGTTTTTCTTTTGTAATCCGTTGGAGATTAATATGTTTGTGAGAGTGTGTAATTCATTTTTCAGGTGGTCTTTGTCAGCTAGGCGTTTGGTTCTAAAGATGACGGTCTTGGCTACAGAGTTGATCTGTGCAGAGTAGTGAGCCAAGGTGGTGCAGTGGTTAAATGCAGCACTGCAGGCTACTGCTAGATCAGCAGGTCAGCGGTTCAAATCTCACCGGCTCAGGGTTGACTCAGCCTTCCATCCTTCCGAGGTGGGTGAAATGAGGACCCAGACTGTGGGGGCAATATGCTGACTCTCTGTAAACCGCTTAGAGAGGCCTGAAAGGCCTATGAAGCGGTATATAAGTCTACTGCTATTGCTATTGCTATTGATGGGATTGTGTGTTTACGTAGTGGTTGGTGTTTGTTTTTTTTCCTGTATATGGTGTGTCCCAGGGAGCCATTGGGTTTTTTGATAGATTAGGATGTCCAGAAAGGGAAGTTGGTTATTTGCTTCTATTTCCATGGTGAATTGTATTTTGGGCTGTAGGCTGTTGAGATGTGTTAGGAAGTTGTCCAGTTTTTCTTTCCCATGTGGCCAAATCACGAAAGTGTCATCAACATATCTAAGCCAGAGTTTGGGTTTGGGTTCAGATTTATCTAAGGCGTTAGTTTCAAAATGTTCCATGTAAAAGTTTGTGATGATGGGTGAGAGGGGTGGTCCCATGGGTGCTGCTTCTATCTATTTGTATCTTTGTCCATTATAGATGAAGTATGTGTTGATTAGGCAATGGTTGGCTAGGTCCAGGATGTGTTTAAGGGGGTTGTGGACCTGACCTACCACTGCCTAACCAACACATACTTCATCCATAATGGAAAAAGATAGAAACAGATAGAAGGAGCACCCATGAGATCACCCCTCTCATCTATCATCGCAAACATGCATGGAACATTTTGGAACTAACGCCTAGATAAATATGAACACAAACCCAAACTCTGGCTTAGATATGTTGATGACACTTTTGTCATTTGGCCACATGGGAAAGAAAAACTGGGCAACTTCCTAACACATCTCAACAGCCTACACCCCAAAATACCATAGTTAATCTCCAAAACTGAACACTTCAACAAGAGAATAATTATGGAACCTATAAAAATGGAGAAACACTTCCACAACACGAATAAACGTGATGATACCTCCTGCCTACCAGAAATCTGGAAACCAGCCCTAGTTAACAAATGAGCCCCACCCACCACACAGGCCATTACAACACGAAACAACAACGGACACACAGCCAGCACCAATCAGCACCAATCTACCAATCATTATACAACCACACGACCAATCATCCCACTTACTGAAACAAAACCAGCACTCCACACCCTCCCACCAAGATTTATAGAAAGACGGCAGCTCCAACTACGCTTTAACCCAAAACCCAACCTGAAGATGGCAAGTGAGACCTCGCCGAAACATTGCCAAGACAATTTCAATCTTACATGGGAAAAGATCCGAATACAAAAAGACCAGCATACCTAGACCCGTGAAAAATTATTGAACTGTTTTTCGATCTAAACACGATTTTGTTATATTTCAGATGATGTGGAAACCAGCTTATGATTTTCTCTATACCTGGAGTGCTCACCATGGAGACAGTTACAGAGATATGTTGCAAGATCTGCATTTAGCTTTGGACAAAATGAAAAACCCTGTGACCAAACAATGGCGAGAAATAACTGGAGCTCTAATCCTAGTCAATTGCATGGAGGTTCTTCGGGCTAGTGCTTTCTCCATGTTGGATGAAGAATAACATTCATTTTCAAATTTAGGAAGATATTCTATAACTAGTCTCCTTGCAATATCAAACAGGAATATTAAGCAGGAACATTTTCACCAAGGAAAATTTGGAATCTTTGTGAAAATTAATTCCTAAATGTATTCCTTTAACTTGAAAAAAATTGAGTCATTAATTTTCAAGCATCACCAATTTTACCTCATTTTTATTTAAAGCTATTTAGTTAGTAAACATTTATCAAAAGAACACAATTGCTGCATGATCTGAACAAATTCTGAAAGAGTTCAGAATAATGTATTCAGGGGAGGAAATGCAATACTGATGTTAAGTAAGAAGTAAGTTATATTGCTAGAGGAAAAAACATTTTTTCCTAGAAATTGAGTCATAGAGCTCTATTGTCAATTCTATCAATAATGCATATAGTCATCTATATAGGTTGCTCTATGATCCAGATGCGTTTATAGTTCTATATAAATATAGTTAAGACTGCAGTTCCCAGGATTTCCACTCCCCATAATCAAACACATAGAAAAGTGTTTCTAAGCTTGGCAAATTTAAGTTGTATGGATTTGAACTTTCAGCCGTGCCAGCTGGGAAATCCTGAGAGTTCAAGTCTACGTATCTTAAAATGGTCAAGTTTAAGAAATTTGGATATAGAACCAGTGAGCTTGGACACAAATTTGGGAAAGCTGCTTTATGATAATCACACTACTTCATTGTATGTATCAATTGAATATATTTCCTTGGATATAGTATGAACTTTGCTATTGATTTCCAATAGAAACTAGGCACTGAGCCATGTATCTTTATAAACTGACTCATGATTTTCTTAATGGGAGCTAAGCATTAGCTACTGTAAAGACTATATAAATCCAAGGAAGCCTTTCTGATTCAACTACTTCTTAGCTGATTGCAGAACAGCCAACTCCTTCTATAATTGTGTACAGGTTTGTCTTGATTTAGAGCATTTAATGATACTTGTTTTTCCTTTCAACCTGTATATGGGCTTTTTTGGGAGTGGCAGTTCATTCCTAGCAAATTAGAAATATATCATATCTGTGTGGTTGTCTCATCTGCTTTTTAGTTATACAACATTATCAGTGTTGTGTAATATTGGTCATATTTCTAAGTAGTTGTTTTCCTTTTCTTGTTCATGGGCAAGATGCTTATTGACAGAGAAATCATGACATAAATGCTGTTTTTTTATTTGAAACATAGGAATTCCAAAATTCATTTATACCATTTTTTCATAGATTTCATTAATTAATGAAAATATATTGTGACAAAACAGTTTTAATTAATTCCTGTTTCTAAACTAGCTATTGTTTCATAAACATTTTTATGTTATGATTTGCTCTGTTTTGCTTTCAGTATTAAATTCAAGTGATATCAAAAAGATGAATGCCCATTAACTTATCAATGATTGTTACATAGATTACTTTTTTCATTTTTAAAAATTACACAGTAACATAGTAACTAGAGACTGAATTTGCCTGCCATTTCAACTAATATTGTTATGTTTGTCAAACTGTGGCTTGTATTGACAATGTTAAGGCCAAATGCTTCTTCAGAAAAAGTTTTTTTTTAATTCATAGGGGCCTTCTTTATTTGCCTCTATTAGCTTTTTTTAATGGAAAATATTCTACAATAAATGGAAAACTAATCGGAAATGTCAATGTATAAATGATAATCTTACCTCACTTAACATTTTATTAAAAAGAACACTGCCATTAATGTGCTAATTATGCTGTAGTACTTCTAATCATTTTTAATATTACAAAAGGTGGGGGAGCTTGAATTCAGCTTGATGAATTATTGGACATATCCATGAGTGGATTCAACACTGTGGAAATGATTTTCTACTTATTATTTAGTTTCCTAACTTGATAAGGTCAACCAGATTTTGCCATCTGCTGAATCTATATGCTAATTTATAGCAGCACAAGATTGACCTCTTTGTTTATCTTTTTGTTGATGCGATTGACATAACATAGTTAATAATAGGTAAGTTAAAAATCTTTGTTGTATTAACATAATTAAACTTGGTTACAGCTTGGGGGTGGTTGGTTCCTTTAAATCAGGCTTGACTTCTAGTGATTCCTTGGACCAGTCTCTACAGTTTTCTAGACCAAATGTTGGAAGTAGTTTGCCATTGCTTATTTTGGCTTTTAACCTTAGCTATTTTTTTATTGCACAAACTCAGCTGTTTATTTAAAAATGCAGTGTATTATGAATATCCAGAAAAAGAATTGATTTGGAATTAAGGTAAGCATGTTGTATTAATCCAATCATTGAAAAAATGAAGGAAAAATTTGAAAAATGGTGTAATAAAATGGAACAATGGGATTTTTTTCCTTGCTATCTGCCTTTCAGGATTTCCAGGCATACCATAATTGTTTACTATAGTCTCAAGTTACAAAGCATTTTGAGACTTAACATGGTTTGAATCTGTCAGGAATATCAAGCTATAATTCTAAATGGAATGGCTATTTTAAATGAAGTTTATTTTGTATCTCTCTATATTTTTTAAAACTAATTTGTATGACTTTGTAATATATTTATAGAACCTACTTTAAGTCAGAGGCTAAAATTCTTAAAACAATATGGAATTATTTCTAATCTTGTTGTGCAAGCATATGGGTAACCTAAGCATTACTATATATTGTTATGTAATAAGTGCACGAATAATAGCAATAACACTCATTGTAAAATTAATATCTGTACAAACGGGATAATCAAAATTTGCTTAGCATTTTACATATTTCAAATAGTTTAATTGTATATATTACATATAAAAGTATTGAATGATAGTTAAAGATTTATTGGGAAAGATCTAATTTAGTGATGAAAATTTATTGGAAATAGATAAAGCATTATACTTATCTAGATTAATTAAAGATATCCTTTCATTTGTTAATGTAATAGAACTGCTAATATGAGCAGCACATGATTGTGTTAATTGCTTCTAAGAGAAATTCCAACTATAATATTTTAAATTCTGGATGAGATGAAAGTTGCATTGAAGTGCACCTTAAGCCTGGGAAAGAAAAGTGAACAATCCTTTCTGCAGGAATATCTGATTAAACAAAGATACAGTGTTTGGAATGCATGTTAATATTGTTCTTAGTTAATTGTTTTTTTAAATGTGTATGCATTTTGATTGCATAGATTTGATCCATACTGATTTTTAGTATATTGATACTATAAATAGCATCCTTTGTTGTGTATTTTTCTTCAGTTTCTCTTGTGTTGAAATATAACTGTAGCCTGCATACCAGTGCCTGCATTGAATGCAAGGGGTTTTCTTCATTGTAAATATGCATCTGGTTGGACTGATAATGATACACTGTTTTTGAAGATATATTAATGTAGAACAGGTTTGCTATTTTTATGAAATGTGTGCATAGCATAGCAGGCAAATTGTTCACACTGGGCAGGAAGAACAAGTAAATATCTAGAAGTTCCAGTTCAAGAGATTACACCATTCTAAGCACAAAGAATATGTTTAAAAGATATTGGGCTCAAATAGCAAACTTCAGTAGAAAAAAATAACATATGAACTAGGAAAATACGTTTTGCCTCTTCGTCTTGTATAATATAAAAATGGAAAGCAAAAAAACAACAACACCCTCTGTCTTTGAGAGTTGTCTATCTAGATTTAATTAACAGCAACTGATAATGCATGATAGAGTTGGGGATTAACAACTGAAATACTGAAGTAACTCATTACTATGGGTTGAAATATTATCAGCTCTACCTATGGCAATCTGAGTGATGCTGTATCACTTGTGATGCCCGCAGACTGTAGGGATCTGAACAAGGGACTACAGACTTAGACTGAATCCTAGCAAGACTGGGCGCATCGAGCCTCAGGATTTGAGTGTTTGTCATCTCTAGTTAGACAGGGTTGCACTATCCCATGAAGATCCAATTTGCAACTTAGTGGTTTCCTCAACTCACATATGTTGCTCAAAGTGCAAATAGCAGTCATGATCAGGAGACCTTATACACAGCTCTGGTTTGTGCACAAGTCTCAACCATTCCTGGATTATGGCTCCATGCACTCAAGCCCTATTTATCTCTCACCTGGATTGTTGCAATGCATTCCACAAGGCAGTACCCTCGAAGTTCATTCAGAAGCTTCAGCTTGTGCAAAGTGCAGCAGTGAAAGCAATCTTTGGAATCCCTAGGATGGCCCATAATATATTTCTGTTTCACAAACTTTAGGGTCTACTTCTGAGTGTAGCTCAAGGTGTTGGTTATGACCTTTAAAGCCCTTAAAGGCATAGGTCCAGGCTACCTAATGAACCACCTCGTCTTGCCAGGACAAGCCCATGCCAACAGAAAGGACGTCAACTACCATCAGTCAAAGAATGCCAACTACCAAGTTCTAGAAGAAGAGCCTTCTCTGTTGCTGTGCCTGCCCTTTGGAAAACCTTACCTTGTAAAGTAAGGTCTGCCCCTACCCTCCTATACTTCTGCAAGAGTCTGAAGACCTGTGTCTGCCAGTTTCCTGACAACCAAGTGGAATTCACACCAGAGGTAGATGCAAGATAGATGGCTGACTCCATCTTCCGTCCTTGTTCTTTTCTGTCCACCCACCTGTCTTTTTGGTTATATTCTAATTGTGTTCCTTTTTCAATGTTTATTTTAAGGTTCTATTATTTTACTTCTGTTTAAACTCCTTTCACTTTCTTCCTTTTTATTGTTGTAAACAGCCTAGAGTAGCCCATGGCAAACTAGGCACTAAATGTAACAAAATAAATAAACACATAAAATGTATTAACCTGTGTATTTGAAAAGCTTAATGCCACTATTACAAAATCAAGGATTTTGCTGTCTATTTTTGCATCACTTTTATGAATCTATATGAAGCAAGGAAACTTATAATCAAAAATAATTTACATACAATGTAGTTAATATAAGTTGCCCATAAGTAAATACTTTCACACCAGGAATATCAATTGGAATAAGTCATTGAAATCTGTGTTGGGCTACAATCCTACATAACTATGAAGTCAATGAGAACACAGTGCTTATAGACTTTATTATTTATATCCAGCTCCTACTCAAAGCAGTGTACACAAATCCCTCCTGATTTTCTTCCATCTGTGGCAATTCTTTGAAATTGGGCTAAAAGTGACTTGCCCAGAGTTACTCAATGTACTAAGTGGTCAAATAGACATTTCAACCCAGTTCTTCCTGAGTTAAGACTATTACAATGCAGTAGCTCTGTATCCACTGAATTGCCCTGGAATGAGTGGATAGCTTCAGTGCTACCATTAATTCCCATTGAAGGCGAAAGGTATCTGGATGAACGATGAAGTGCTTTTAATATGACATAAACTATTACTGTGGGACAGGAATATCGGCTCAGGAAGGAAATATATGATGGCAGAAGGGAGATTGTAGACGTATTTCATGTTAACGTGAAGTTTTCATTTTAATCGAGACAGTTTTGCTGAGCTATCCTGGAATGACTACTATTAAACACCCGAATATACTTTAAGGTAGATAACCAGTTTATTTGAGGGAGAAAGGTTGGAACTTCTTGCAGGAACAATACCCTTATCCTTAAAATAAGCAAATACGGCATGAACTTTATTGTCATGGATTATTTAGCTAATAACAAGCCTTGAGAGAGGATAGAGATGCGGGAGGCAATTGATGGAAGATGACAGGAATGCTATATTTGCATCACAGAATGTCAGAAATGTAGCTTCCTTTCCAACTAGCTTGGAGGAAAGTAGTTGGAAAGGAAGCTACTGTATATTTCTAACATTCTAACAGCTATAAAATGCTTTTGATTATATGATTCCAACTTTTATGTTCTATTGTCTTCTAATTATAAATCAAAATTATTACATTTTAGCAAAGGTGTAAATACAGCAAATCAATATTATTATTTTTGGGGAGGGTGTCTAATAGAAAAGGAACAAAGATTATTAGGGGACTAATGGCTAAAACAACTGTTACAGGAACTGGGCATACTTAGTCTAGAGAAGAGAAGGGCCGGGAGTGACAAGGTAACAGTATTTCAATATTTGAGGGACTATTGTAGGAACAAGTCAATCCGTTTTCCAAAACACATGAAGGCCACACAAGGAATAATGGATGGAAACTGATAAAGGAGGGATTCAACCTAGGAATAAGGAATTTTCTGACATAACAATCAACCAATGAAACAGCTTGCCTTCAGAACTTATGGGACCTTCATCACTGGAGGTTTTCAAATAAAGACGATTGCGATCTGTCAGAAATAGTGTAGGATCTCCTGCTGGGTGGGGGTTGGACTAGATGACCTACAAGATTCCTTCCAACTCTGTTAATCTGCAGGAGCAGGTGCCTTGAACAGTCTAACATCTAAAGGCTTTGAAAGATGGTGATGAAAAAAAATTATAGCTCACCATTTAAATTTATATTGTTTTTTGGTTGAATGAGTTTGACAGAACATGTCAGGATAATGACATATCTATATCTTTCCCAAGGAACATGGATTTCACTGCTAACTTTTCAGCTAATACAAAATGGATGTTGCACTACTTTTTTGTCCAAACTTCCTGATTTATAACATATTCAAAAATAATTCTGCATAATATACCTGATTTCTTGCATCAAAATTAATGGTTTCAAATTAAACAAGAATTAAATTTAGGACAGATACTGGCAGAAACCAATTTCCAAAAATATTATCTATCAGAAAATACGCTACCTGAGAACTTTAGAAAAACAGTAAGAAAACCTGAACTACTCTAAATAGTGTTACATGAATGATATCAATGACATAAAAATCTTTTGTGTCATGCTTTAAAAAATGATATCTACAGAGAAAGAAGTAGAATACTTCTGATTTCAAAACCTTTGGGGTTGCACTTGTAATTTTATTTAGTATAAAAGAAATTATTCAGCAGGTTAAGAACTGAAAGCTTTGTCATAACCCAGATTTAATTACAGAACCAAAAAGATACTCATTTTATCAGTATGAGTATGACTTGGTTTTATTAACTTAATTTTGGCATAGTTAGATGGTTGGCTTCTAATAAGTCAGTAGTTGAATACAAGCTCTTCATTCGGGATGAAGAAGGATTGTGAATTCAAATCACAAAAGTTTTTCACCAATCATATATGTCTGCACATGCATTTCAAAAGTCTGCCCATGCAGATTCATGAAACTCATTACACTTTATGTTAAGGTATTCCTATTTAATAATGAGAGGAGTTTCAGTATTAGTTAACACCTTATTGTCACAAGAGAGGAATGTAGAGTTTTTATGTTATTTCCTTGAGCAAGCAATATTAAAGAAGATAGCAACTCGCCACCCATTCAAGATTTATTGAGCAATCCAGGAATAAATGAGGTGTACATGAACAGTGGCTTCCTATTTTGAAATATGGGTAGGGTGGGGTGGCAAGATGTTACATGATTCAATGTTTTCTGCTAATGGGCAGAATCCAGAATATTTCAGTGAATAATGGTTGTTTCTGTAGTATGCAATAGGTTCAGCAAGAATTTGGAGGCTTGAAAATATTCTTTCTATGCTCCTTTTATTTTTGTATTTATTCTTTAGCCTTTCTTAACATATCTATTTACCAATTTATGTACATTTGTTCCAATTCTATTCTGTTCCCATCCTAGTACTCTCAAGTCAATATTAGGTTTAGAACATCTGCTATAAATTGGCTAGGGAATTTTGGGAGTTGAAACCCACTCATCTTAAAGTTTCCAAGTTTGAGACACACTGATCTAAGTAATCCATCCACCTGTTTCTTAACAGTGCTAGAAACCAAAGCCTAGGAAATGCACAAGGAAATTTCAAGATGCAGCCCACAACAGTTGTTCAGATAACAAATCTCCAATTTGTTATCCCAATATGGATCCCTTTTAGAAAAAGTATGACTATTAATGTAGAAGATAAAAGTATCAGTAGGTTTAATGTTCTCAGTTTTGAAAAGGTATAGCCAAAGTTAGAGCAGGAAAAAATAAGTGAACTATAGATTGAAAAAATAGCTAAATACATTGTTAAACATGGTTTTGAGCCAACACTCAAGTCAAAGTGGAGAAGTATTACATGTAGCCATTAAGTATAAGGCTAAGGGAAGCTTGGAGAAACACTGATCCCTCTAGAGAAAAAGGTTTTTCTCCCGTAATCTTCTATTGAAATTGTCAATAACACAAAATGATTGAGCGTTGACAAAAGTATTTATATAAATAAGGCACTTTCAGAATTATTACATAGTTCAATTATTCAGTTTAAGGTGACTATTGACATTTTCCCCAAAATGTCAGAAGTTTCCTAACAGTCCATCAAATCCATTAAATTTCATAGCACAGGACAGTTATAATGAATGGATTCTATGGATTATCTTTGAAATAATAGATTTAAAAGGTTAGTTAATTCATTTTTGAAATGTACAATGAAATTTAATCAAGTGATGGAATCCCCTCTGGTTAAATCTAGTCAATGAAGATTGCCAACTCTATTTTTTCAGTTTCAGGCACTTTTATAAAAGAAGCTGTTTGAAGGCTGCCATGGGGATCATAGTTAATGATGATTAACTACCGTTAATGACGCCACCCGTTAATGACGGCTGGCGACTACTCGGAGGAGGGCCTTCTCTGTGGCTGCCCCGGCCCTTTGGAACGAACTCCCCGTGGAGATTCGGACCCTCTCCATCCTTCAGGCCTTCCGGACGGCCGTGAAGACCTGGCTGTCCCAGAAAGCCTGGGGTTGAGTTCCCCCCCTACTCAAATTTGCTGTGTCTGTTGTGCTTTTAAATTGTTAGTATTGTCTGATTATCTTTGTCTTACTTTTTGTAATTTCCCCTCCCTTGGCTTTGTTCAGCCGCCCTGAGTCCCTTCGGGGAATAGGGCGGCCTACAAATTGAATAAACTCCAAACTCCAAACTAGTTAAGTAGAAAACAATACTTGGCACCTACATGTCTTCCCCAACACCCTGCTTATGGTTATATTTGGAGCACATAAAACACTACTACAATCAGCCATCATTTTTATTTTCTATTACAGCTTATCAGGGTCATTTGACCCAATTTCTCCTGTTTTCAACAAACCTTTGTATCAATGTAAAATATGTGGTGGTCCACAGAATTTGGTATCTACTTCACACTGCTACCCACAGATGGCATAATAGAAAAGCTAGGCCTGAAAAGTATGTATGAAAGTATGTATGGTTAGTATGAAAAACAGTCAATTAGTCTTGGCTATTCATTTATTTACTTCTTAAATTGGTTTCAGTAGCTAGAGCAACAGCTTATATAATGCATTCCTGGAAAATTGTGTGGGCTCTTTAGATATCACAAAGCCCAAACTGATGACCTGGCAACTCATTCAAAATGGGAGTCTATTGTTCTTTTCATAAATACTGTGTTTACACAACATGCTAACTCATGGTACTTAATTGCACTGTGATTACATAATTTTCTTTGCTTGCACAGTAAAGTGAACCATAAATTAAATGGACTCTCAAAATACTTACTGCTAAAATGTGGTTGGCAATGTTATGATTCAGTGTGTGTCATATGATCTTGGCAGAACAATCATCATTTGCCATACTAGTATTAGCAGTTAGTCTTTTTATGCATTTTAAAATAAATTGTCATCCAAAATTTAATTGACTGACAAAGTTATATTTAATCTATTAAATTCAATTGACCGCATTACTAATATTGTGTTTGTCTGATACAAATTATGAGCATTTAATCTGAATCTGAAGCGAAAAGGTTTTAAGTTCCTTGGCTTATTCTTTAAAGCTAAAATGAAATA